ACAGACCGGAGTCGCCCATCACGGTGCCGTGGTCCCAAGTGGTTCACCCTGGCCACAGCCCCTTGGCAAGTGGCACCTTTGCTTGGGCCCGTTCATGGCACCCAAGGGGCTTTGGCTGATGTGGGTGGGAGTGGGGTGAGGTCTGCACCGCGGGCGGGCTGGCCCCGGTGCTGGAACGGCGGCTTCTGAGGGGTGCTGGTGGCACGTAGAGCCCAGCACCGGGGCGAGACGCCCTGCGGGTCCCTCCCTGCCCCGTCCCACCTTGCCAGGGCTCACCCAGACCCCGCTCAGGCAAATAATAAATCCCAGGAGCACCCAGGTCCTGGGGACCATGCGAGAGCCACCCATCCATGGGGACCCAGCCAGAGATGGCCCAAAGGCGCTCGGGAGCGTGCGGGGAGCGCGGGTGCAGCACATGTCCCCACACCCGTCCCGTGTGCGTGGAGAGATCATTTCTGCAGGGAGCCGGGTTTATAATCCATCTGTATAAATTCTTGGCATATTTCTCCAAGGATGTGGAGAGTATTTACCTGGTTTTAGGGCTGACAAAGGGGTCTGGGAATCCCTGGGGAGAGGGACGGGCTTTGTCCCCTGCCTGGGCGTGAGACTGGGGTGGGAAATGCCTCTGTCCCGGTCAGTGTTGGTGGCCGGGCTTCATCGAGGTTAATTTTGTGCAAGAAAAAACCCACCTTTCCTTGATTTCAGTGGCGAAGGACGGCAGAGCCAGGGCTATAAACTGGTTTTCCAGTATTACAAAGCACTCCTGGGTTGGGTTGGGTGGTTTGTTGTTTTTTGGTTTTTTTGCATGTAAAGTCCTGGTGAAGATTGGACAATTAATGGTGTTTTTTTGGTTTTTTTTTTCATTTTGAGGACAGAACCAAAAAAAAATAAATGAGCTTGTGTTGAATCAAAAGTTTTTCCTCTCTGGCTTTTTAGGTTAACCAAAAAAGAAAAAAAAAAAAAAAAAAAAAGGCCAAACAAACACTCAAAGGTTTCATTTTGGGTCAAGTCCAAACATTTTGTTTAACATGAAACAAAATGTTTGGGTTTGGTTTCAGGTTGTTTAACCCTTTTGAATACGGTCAAGTTGATTTGTAAAGAAAAATCACTGCTCAGAAATTAAGACCTGAATAATTGTTTTGAAAGTGTAAGTGTGAAACACGCTGGGAATATCAAGGTGAAGCCTTTCTGAAAATAGTAAAATGAAGGGAAATTCAGGGACATTTTTCCCAATTCTCATATATTTTTTTCCAGCCAAAACACTGCTGAATTTTATTTAAATCCAGAAATAATGTCTGTAACGCCCGAGTCACTTATTTGACATTTTGAGTGTGCTCTGTTGCGCTGGCTCATGATTTAACTCTGGGAAAACAATGCCCTTGGCTCAGTTGTGAACCAAAAGGCTATTAGAAATGATAATGAGCTCTGTTCCATTAACTTATTATTAATCAGTAATTAGTAGGATCGGTTAGGTGACATGAACCGCTGGTGACAGAAGTTGGTGTGAGCCCCTCGGCTTGGGCACGGCGGCCGGCGCGGCTTCGCCGGGACGGAGCGTGCGGAGGAGAGCTGTGGTGGAAGAACATCTTCACATCCTTCTTGTTGGCTTCCACCTTCTCCTGTGGAGAGAGACCCCAAAAGAAGACCCTAAAACCCCCAGACCCCCCTGTGTCATGGCTGTCCCTGATGGCTCCCAGCCCTGACCAGCAGCGAGCCCCCGGCAGAGC